CATCCTCCAGGATAAGTTGTGCTCCCAGGCCGCTATGCATGACTAGAATTGTGCCTCATAGCGTCAAGCCGGCGCCTAGGGAGCGGGCAGGTTGGCCGCGTGGGTTCGCGGCTCGACCCTCAACCTAACCTAGCGCGAGGGCTGCCCCGAGCCGGCAACAAGCACAAGTTAGGGATGCGTTTAGAGCAAGTGAACATAAAGAGCTGCTTGAAATCTCTACGAAGATACCAGCATGCTTCCGCAAAGCCATGCGCACAAGATACGAAAGGCAGAGCACGACAGGATCTCCAACCCGGAGACTCTCCCTGGGCAGCTGAAGGAGGCCCGATTGTTGGGAGAGATGTGCGTATATGGGTGGCCTGGCATGAATCGCGAAAGGCGAAGGATCCTTCGTGCTGCGCATTTGCCGCAACAAGACGTGGTTCCCGTTGGTCGAGTCGCCCGGCGTCAACGCGTGGTCCCCAGGGGAGCGGGTGAAGACAACAGCCGTGGCTGCAGGCGAGCCGCTTCCGCGCCCCGCTAGCAGAGCCGTGCTGCCAGGTGGCACGTCCACGACAACAGCCGTTAGCTTCACTGCAACATGAGCCCAAGTGGGACACCCGACACTCCTGAATAGTACTCCGGAGTATGTAGACGTATACAAGCACCCACTGAAAGACCATATTGGCCGCTCCAGTCCAGGTGCTGTTCAGCTGCGTTATCGTTGCGAGAATCGAGCCCCAGGGTCAACACGCAGACGATGCAGTCACTGGCAAAGAGACGAAAATTTCGAGACGTGGGCTGTACAGGGCATGCTGCAGCTAGCAAGGCTCGCCTGGAGTATCTTGGGCCTATCAGAGGTCGCTCAATGGCGTTGAACCGTTCGGAGTTTAGGTAAATCAAACCCCCTCGAAGGATGCGCGCTACTCCTGCATCTTCATCATGGGGATTTTCGGACCGTGGAGAAGATACCTGCCGTCTTCAAAAATCGCGGAGGTTTACTGGAAACGATCAAGTGGACGAATAGCGCGTGTTGGCTGGGACGCCTATATTCGAAGCCATGCGCCTTGGATTCTGTCTCCGAGCCGAAGCCCTGCCCGTTTCCTCGACATCTTGAATCCCACTGGAGAGCTCTGCTAAACTATCGGAGCTTCCACGATGACGATGGAACTCTTTCGAGATGCCGCTCAGCGCAGCGTGTCGCAAGGTGTCGCAGCTGCTGTTCTGTGTGGCATCGTTTTCCACTTCTCAATTCGACCATTCGAGTTTGAGCTGGTCATGTTCCACTTCATGGCAGCTTTCATTTTGAGCTTCTTCGGGATGTTCTACGTCTTTGGGTTGGGCAAAGCTTTACTCTTTGCGACCAGTTTCAGTACCGGACTGCTCGCCAGCATTGCCATGTACCGAGTCTTCTTCCACCGGTGTCGAAAATTCCCAGGGCCGTTCGCAGCAAAAGTCTCCAAGTTCCACGCTGCAAGTCTCGCGGCGAAGGATGTCAAATACTTCAGAGAGCTGGAAAAGATGCACGACCAGTACGGTGACTTCGTGCGCACAGGTGAGCGAACACCCAACTGAGGCTTTGCACGAGCAGATGTTAATAGTCTTCAAAGGTCCCCGAGAGATCAGTGTTCTACGCAAGTCAGCTGTTCCGATTCTTTATGGGCCCAACTCGGAATGTTTGAAGTCAACATGGTACGGCCAAACCGGGAACGACCCAAAGAAATGTTCCATCCACATGACGCGTGACTTCAACGGCCACCGCCTTCGTCGCCGTGCATGGGATCGCGGGTTTTCCATCAAAGGTGTGTATAGGCTCACGAGCTACACGAGTACCTCTAACTTTACAAAGCGCTCAACACCTACGAACCACGCATCAAGGCAAAGGCGGACTTGTTCAAGTCCCAACTGGCAACCAAAGGAGCAACGTCAATGGATGTGTCCACCTGGTCAATGTTCTTCAGCTTCGACGTCATGGGTGAGGTCGGCTTCGGCAAAGACTTTAACAATCTTACGAGCGGTGTCGAGCACCCTGCTATCAAGGGAGTGCATGCCCACATGACCATGCTGGGAATTATGAGCACGGTTCCGTGGCTCTTGAACGTTCTGGGCTCTATTCCTGGAGCGGCGGCGGGCTATTCGGACTTCTTCTCCTTCTGCGCAGGCCAGATTCGCGAAAAGCACAAGGTATGTGTTGTGATCGTACTACCGGTGACAGATAATTAACGAAATATAGACCTGGGACGGCGAGAAGTATCCGCAAGACGTCGTATCCTGGTTACTCAAGGCTGTCAAAGAGAACGACGTCTCCGCCTCGCCAAGCCCAGAAGCCTTGGAGGACGATTCGAGAGTGATGATCATTGCCGGAAGGTAGGCAATTCTGATGTAGCAACCCAAAGACACTACTGACGGGATGTAGTGAAACTACAGCCACCACGCTCGCAGGAGCCCTTTACTACCTCGCCAAATGCCCCGACAAGCAGAAAAGGCTCCAGCAATTCCTCGACCAAGCAATGCCGGGCGGATACAGCCAGTGGTCGTACGAAAAGGTCAAGTCGATCTCTTATCTGGATGATTTCCTCAGCGAGACACTGCGACTTCGTCCCGCCCTCTTGACCGGTGGAGCGCGCGAAACACCAGCAAAGGGCATCCAAATCGACGACACGTACATTCCCGGCAACACGAACGTCGTGATTCCAGTCTCGCTCATCCAAAGAGACCCTCGATGGTGGCAGCAGGCTGAAGACTTCGTCCCAGAGCGCTTTGGTGAAAAGAGGCTAGAGATGGAGACTGATCAGGCTCCATACCTGCCTTTCTCTCTGGGTAAGTCCTTCATACGGTCGTCGTTCTAGACTCGCAGTCAGCAGCTAACATTCCCGTAGGCGCATACAGCTGCCCCGGCAAGAACCTGGCCCAAATGAGCTTACGTATCTCGCTTTCGATGATCGCGCAGAATTTCGACGTCTCCTTCGCGCCTGGAGAGAATGGAGAGGCATTTGAGAAGGAGATAATGGACACATTCACCGTAACGCTTCCGGCTCTTCAGCTACGATTCACCCCGCGCAATAGTGCTTGAGTATCGGGTGAAGGGTGCTGTTGAGCATGCATCTTGAACGTGCCTCAAGTTGGGCCTGTGATGGATGAAAGTTTGCGCATATCCGTATTCCAACGATGGGAGTTGGCAGCAAGAGGCTGAGGGTGTGTGGTAGTACCGAATTTAATGGGAGGGATTGTGAATCCTCCAGCTGTCCTACGCAGCTATCCAAACTGGTTTCCTAATCGCTAGTGGGGGTGTTCCATGATGATGGTGCGCACAGACGTCGTACTAGTAGGTCTTTCGCGCAACCCGTTTTCCAAGCGGCCCCGGGGCTTGGTGTTGTCTAGATCTCAAAAGTATTCTGGTAACGCGACGCGCGAAGCATTGGGGAGAGGGCAGAACAACAGCCCGCTCCTCAGCACAAGATGAAATTCGGGGAAAAGGCTCTACAGGCATACAACGTTGTTGGCCCGGTTTTGATGTTCCGTGCGTGCACTTCTTCGGAAAGATCTCGTCATGGTCGACCACGACATTTTGTATCGGAGCAGAATGTTCGCCAAAGCCTATGCTCAAGGAAGCATCGCATCGCTCTGCCAAGTCAGCGTTCATGAGATCACAAGGTACAGATGCGTACATCGTCATCAAGCCTCCAATACTTAAAACAAAAACTCGGCTAAAGTTCCAGCTCAAACGTCCATTAGCGCTCAGGCCTAGAGACCAAAAGACGGCACGGATTCTATATTACGTGTCTAAGTAAGCCTTAGCTTTAGTATCTTAACTATAGAAATTTAAAAAAATCTTAACTTAATAACTAAAGTATACTATTATAGTTATATACTACTAATACTTAAAAAAGATAAGATTATAAAATTTTTATACTTATATATTAATTCTTTTATACTTATCTTTATCTAAGTACTTAAATATACTTTAATATAACTTTTATACTTATATAATACTATTAAGACTTAGCTCTAATAAATATAAGCTAATTAAGCTTATTAACTTTTTTAATAAAAAGTATTTTAGCTATATTACTAAGTATAAAAATACTATTAACTAAAAACGTACGTTTTTACTTTAAGTAATTACTTATTATAAAGTTACTACTATCTTTATCTTTAATAATACTTTTAATAATATTATTAAGCTTTTTATATATATAAAGCTAAAAACTTTTAAATAACTTTATAAGAGAGTTTTTACTAATAATACTACTACTACTAATAAAATAATTATTAATATACTTATAAATAAATTTTAGAAAAAAGTATAAAAGTAAGTAAAATATATTTTAGTTAAAGTTTAAAGTAAGTAAGAGTAATAAGTAAATTAAGTAGACTAGTAATTAATAAGCTTATAGGCATGCTTTAACGTTTTCTGCAGCGTAATATTAGGCACAGATTCTATAGCGCACGCAGGCGGTACTTAAATTCGGCTCCAAACGGCTGTCTCTAGGGATAGGGGCTTGATACGCACTTACACCCAAGTAATTATAGGGAAGCTTGCCAATTTGGCCTCGGCTCTTTGGGACATCTGAAGCCTCCAAATAAAGTATAATTTGTGGCTTCGAGCTTCGACCACCTGAAAAGCATCTCACGCTCGCTGAGTGTCCGTATAATAGAAGCCAATGTTTCGTAGGCAGACGCAGCCGAGCGAGCAGCCTGGGTTAAAAAGCTTGTCGGGTGATCTTCCGTTCAAAGTAGCTAGGTACCCTTACTCTAGACCTAATTGAGCTCAGCCTTTTATCGTGCCATGCTCTCCAGACCAGGTCTGGGGGTGTTGTAGTTTGCGACTGCTCCAACTTAACGTGGTTTCCAAGATCGCGGAAAAGTCATAGTTTGTGGTTCAGTCCTACATTCGGACCTCACTAGCATTGCCCAGGACTTGGAAGGAGCGAAAGCGCGTATATAGTAAAGATGATCGCCAGGTTTAATATGGTATCATCAGGACACTGCGTCTTCTTGATCTTCCAGCCCCCGTCATCATGCGCACTTCATTTTCACTCGTTACTTTGTTAATTTCTCTGGTCTCTGCTGTACCAGTTGCAGACCACGAGAAGAGACAGAATGCTGAATTCGATTATGTTATTATCGGTGTAAGTTGTGGCTATTCCAGCTTGCGCCAGCCTGTAAAGAATTGGTTGCGCTAACACGTAGTAAAGGGTGGTACCGCGGGCCTTACACTTGCGAATCGGTTGTCTGAAGACAGCACCATGAAGGTCGCTGTCATTGAGGCCGGTGCTCTCTATCAGATCGCGAATCCGCTTTTGTCGTCGACTCCAGCTGGAGATGTTCTGTGGTCGGGCTCCAGCCCGTTAGATCAGAACCTTCTCGTGGACTGGAACTTCATTACCGCCCCTCAAGCCGGCGCGAATGGTAGACGAATCAAGTACGCGCGAGGAAAGTGCCTGGGTGGAAGCTCGGCTCGAAACTTCATGATCTACCAGCGGGGCGATCGCGGCTCGTACCAACGCTGGGCAGACGAAGTCGGAGACGACTCGTACACTTTCGACAACCTGATGCCGTATTTCAAGAAGTCCGTCAAGTTTACACCACCCAACACCAAGCTTCGTGCAAGCAATGGCTCGGCCGAATACGTCGCGAGTGCCTTCGATGCCAGCGGCGGGCCTCTGGATGTCTCCTACGCGAACTACGCTGGACCTTTCTCAAGCTACATGGAAGGAGGTATGAACGGCATTGGAATCCAGACTAGGCCTGACTTCAACTCTGGAGAACTCATGGGAGCTCAGTACTGTAGCTCGACGATCACGCCCGGCACCCAGAAGCGCGCGTCGAGCCAAACAACCTTTCTCGAGGCTGCGAAGAGTCGTCCTAACCTCAAAGTGTACACACTGACTCGCGCCGAGAAGATCATCTTCAATAGCGAGAAGCGTGCCACTGGTGTCCAGTTACCCCTTGGAATCGTCCTTACCGCAAAGCGTGAAGTGATCCTTTCGGCCGGTGCTTTCCAGTCTCCTCAGCTGCTTATGGTCTCTGGAGTTGGGCCTGCTGCACAGCTCAAGAAGTTCAACATTCCCGTCCTTGCTGACCGCCGCGGTGTTGGTCAGAATATGCAAGATCACATTTTCTTCGGTCCAACCTACCGCTACAAAGTCCAGACGCTCACGAAACTCGCCAATGACCTTCTTTATGTCGGCGCTCAATTTGCATTCGATTATGGCCTGCTCAAGAAGGGTCCCCTCACCAATCCCGTCTGCGACTTCCTAGCCTGGGAAAAGGCTCCTCGCAGCCTTATCTCTTCAGAAGCTGCCGCAGCGCTGGACCAGTTCCCTGCATCCTGGCCCGAGATCGAATACCTCTCTGCACCCGGCTATATTGGTGACTTCTCCAATCTCTTCGCAAGCCAGCCCAAGGACGGCTACCAATACGCGTCCATTCTCGGCGCTCTTGTTGCGCCCCTCTCCCGTGGTTCAGTGACCATCACAAGCTCTAGCACAGCTCAGCTCCCTTCGATCGACCCGGGCTGGTTGACTGACCCCACTGATCAAGCCCTCGCAGTTGCAGCCTACAAGCGCATGCGTCAAGCCTTTGCTACAGACGCCATGAAGGCTGGTCTTGCGGATACGAAAGAATACTTCCCTGGACCCAAGATTGAGACCGATGAGCAAATCCTCAACACCGTTCGCGATACTGTAAGTCTGCCAAGTCTACCGAACCTGCATGTACTAACGATAGCAGTTGATGACTGTGTGGCACGCTTCTTGCACGTGCAAGATGGGAAAGACTGACGATCCAGATGCAGTCGTGGATAGCAAGGCGAAGGTTATTGGTGTGACCGGTTTGAGGGTTGTCGATGCTAGTTCATTCGCACTATTGCCTCCCGGACATCCACAGGTATGTCATCTTGTTCCGTCTCATCTGTGCATCACTGACTTTCCACCAGAGTACGATATACGCGTTGGCAGAGAAGATTGCCGACGACATCAAGCGCAGCCGGTAGGTCGCGCGCGCAGAAGCCGTACTAGACAACTCCATCGCGTTAATTGAGAGATTCAAACCCAAGTGCAACATATCGTCCGCTATCATTACTTCTCACTGTGAAGTCACCTTTTCTGCAAGTTCGGGCAGCGTTGCAGCAACAACGTCCATCTTGCCAAACACATCGTCTAATGCCTCCTTCTCCAACACCGAGCAATACGCTGTCTTGAACCCTGCCCTACCCGCTGCGCTTACATCCCAAGCGTGTGCAGCCGCAAACCAAAGATCACTAGCTTTGCTGTCAACACCAATCTTTTCTATCAGCTTCTCGTACGCCTTGAGATCCGGTTTTCCCACACCAACGTCGTCACACGTCACAATATGGTTGTTGTCGATGTCAATGTTGCCTCTTTCGAAGTAGCCCATAATTCTTGGACGGTCGCCACTAGTGAACGCCCAGACTGTCCAGCCAGCCTTCTTCATTATGTCCACACTTTCCTTTGCACCCAGTCAGACTTCGCACTTCCTATACTCTTGCATGAAATATTTCACATCTTCCTCGGTCGCGACGCTGCGCGGCTCTGCTACGCCAGCAAAATGCAGGAAGCGGAAGAAGATGGATTCGAAGACCTTCGCGAAAGGTACGTAAGAGCCCGAAATCGAGAGGTAGGTGTACTCACGCTCCGCGCTCTCTAACCAAGCGAAACCAAGGAGACGTGCGGAGATGTTGTTGGCCTGAAGTTTGGGGCCCAGGCGTTGGTCGATGACGGCATAGAAATGCTCGTGCGACACAAGCGTGCCAACTATATCGAAAACGATGTGCTTCGCTCCGGACATGGTACCAGACTTGGCTGATGCGGATGCTTTGATCGTGGTGCTTCGCTGAGATGTCAAGTCTTCGTCGTGATGAGGCTCTACATACATGCGAGGTACGTCAAGCACGCCCCGCGCGCCATCAGGGTGTGTTTTGCTCACTGATTACGTCATCACGTAACGTGACATTCGCCATGCTTGCGATCGCACACATGGCGTTTTGCGTAATACGACTAAGACGATGGCGATATCTCATCATTTCCCCATGATGACCACATGTAATTGTGTGACGCCGGGAAGAGCTCCACAGAGATGGGTGCATCGTAACGGTTGACTCCGTCCCGTGAGATAGAGCTCCCGTCATAGAATATCGGTGCCTTCATCTTTAGTCAAAGAACCGTCACCATACTAATCACTCAACTTCTTCATGCGCCATCATCAGCTCATCTGAACCATCACTGTTATCGCATCGTTCGCAGCCCAAGCGGCTATCTCAAGTAGCACCAATGCATCCGATTGGTCGGCGCACAATCTTTCCCAAATAGGACCGAAACACCGTGCGATATCAAACGTCCGTTAACGGCGATGCAGATCTGGCATGCGACGCGCAGATGTGTTCATGTGGGGAAGAGAATGGATAGAGATACTGATACGTCATGCTAAAGGAAGAAACACACAGGGTCAAAGCTATACCCGCAAATGCGTGTCACCAAAAAGAGCCAAAGACGTTGTGTAGCAAAGGCATAAAGATGGATTCTACATAGAGAAAGGGAGGGAATAGATGCGCTATGGAAATCATCGCTAAGAGTCATTACAAAGAATGCTGTCAAACAACAAACCCCAGAGTACGAGTTCAAAGCCTCAAGTACTCATAACACCCAAACACCAAGGCCATGCATCATGAATCGTGATAGTCAAGACTTTGCTTACCAAGCAAGGTCGCTCTTCTCGTTGTCATTGCCACAAGCAAGACCCTCGCAGAAGTCCTCCATCTCTTTGCTGATGGCCGAGGCACCAGTAGGCTCGAGTTGCTGCTTAGCAGGCCAGATCTTCTGACCGGCCTTCTTCTCCTTCGCGCCGTGCTCCATGACGATCTCGCGACATCGCTTCTGGAAGAAGAGTGGGCCCTTCTCCATGTGTGGGTGCAGCTCACCGTTGACAAAGATGCCAGCCTCGATGTTCTTCTGCGCACGCTCACATAGAACCTTGTCCTCGCCCATGACGCGCTTGTAGGTGTCGCTAATGAGGTTGAAGTCCTCGTCGTTCGAGTGCTTGTTGCGCCAGACCTCGTAGTACATGACTGACTCGGTAGGTGACTTGGGCATGAACTTCTGCATGAAGAGGAAGTGTTTTGTGACGGTGAAGGAGGCGTTGGGGAAGCAGTACGTGGAGCAGATCTCTTGGCCGAGGTCCTTGCGGTCTTGAGGGGTCTTGGGGTCGTGCTGGATGTGGTCGGCCGAGCAGTAGACGTCGTAGCTCTCGAGGTCGATCAAACCTGTTGTGAGATCGGGGTGTGTGCTCTTGCAGTGGTAGCACTCGTTGAAGTTGTCGGCGAGAATCTTCCAGTTGAATGGGCCGTCGAGGTTCCAGGTGTGGTCAAACTCGTAGTCGTCAAAGTTGAACTGACCGAAGCGCGCCTGTTCGTCGACGTGGTCGAACTGTGACTCCCATGATACCTCGGGCTCCTTCTTCGCATCCATGTTGATCCAGACAAAGCCGTTGCGGTCGATGCGTGTGTGAATTGGGAAGAGACCGTTCTTGGCCTTCTCGAAGTTCTGGAGCTCTTGGTATCCCGGCGCCTTCGCGAGCTTGCCGTTGAGGCCATACGACCAGCCGTGGTACTTGCAGGAGAAGATCTTAGCATTGCCATCATCCTTCTCAACTACGGGATACGCGCGGTGTCTGCATACGTTGTGGAATGCGTTGATCTTGCCGGACCGGTCCTTGGAGACGACGATGTCGTAGTTGGCGACGTTGTAGCGAAGGAAGTCGCCAGGGTTGGCGAGTCGCGACTTGTGGGTAAGAATGAGCCATCTTCGGGTGAAGATAGCGCGTCGCTCGAGTTGGTACATCTCTTCAGAGGTATACCAGTTGGCGGGGAGGGCCCGTACGGGCTGGTTCTCAGGTGGAGCCTGGGCGGCGGCTGAGCCGCCAAAGCCAAGGTAGCTCAGGAGTGACCCGACCATTGTGAAGGATGTGTGTTGAAATGTGATGTTATGCTTGTTGCAGGATAGTGGAGTGCTAAAGGTAATTGGAAGCGACCACGATTGTGTGTTGGCAAGTCTGGTAGAGAGGATGGACGTCAGGTTGAGGATGTCGCAGGCGTTATTATACCCTCTTCTCGAGGTTCTTAACTCCTCACTCTTATCAAGTAAGACAAACAACTAAGTCCCCATGGGGTTATGGCTTCCATTCGCGCCCGAGGAGCGATAACCAGTGGGACGTGGGAACGTAATTCGGCTGCAGGTGACCGTCAAGCGCCACACAACCTGACTATTTTTGACGTCTCTCCGTTACCGCACGTTCTGCCATCGTGATCAATTCAACATTCTAGAATGCTGTGCTAGAGCTCAACGGCGTCATATGACTGGGCAGCGTCGTATTACCCCAGAGTAGTTTCATTGACTGTGCATACAATGCAGGAGAATATCATGGTGACTGAACGTACAGACCGTTCTCGTCATTGCCCCTCATGTTGGCACGGACTTGAATGGATCTGATTTCCAAATGCGGACAACGGACGCCAGCCCAAGGCGCGATCAGACTGCGACCACCAAGTTCTGGCGGGACTATTACGGTCGCATTATCCAAGTGCTATCGCGCTCTTATCGAAAATCTTCACTGAAGATGTTGATCGCAGCTGTTATCGTCGAGATATCGAGATAGCGATGCTATCTTGATGAGCTGTCGGGCTTGGATGTAGTACCGCAGCTGATAACGTCTGCTGGACTATAGCCCATGATACTCTGATCGAGGGTATAGAGCGAACGTCGGAGCACACGCACCGTTGAGCGCGTTGTCATTGAGTGCGAATGATGCCACACGACTCGCGCAACGCATACGACAGCAAAGCGTCACTGGTCTCGATGGAAGCGCCCCTGTTCGTGGACGGTTACCGCAGCAGCTCGCGTGTCACTACCCCTCCTGACGATATGGAGAGTAATCGGGAGGGTTTGGGTGCTTTTGGCAATCGCAGTCGTGAATTTGCCGGCTGGTGCTGACAGCGCAGCAAGGTGTTACGTTGGGCCTGCCCCAACACTGTAGGCGTCTGGGGTGATTTGGCGATATAAGCTGTCGCTTGTCTCGCAGCATCGACTCATCGATGAACGCAACCAGAGACAACTTCAAGGTGAGTCCATTGCGAAGACTGCTCTGGGCGCGACTCAGTGATCGAGGGCATGCGATGTGGGTGACACCACACGGGTCGGCATCATGGTCCAGATGGGTCTGCCTTTCTGCACGTGGTGCAGTGCAGTTGCCGATTAAAAGGGGTTTGTGCTCTCGAGAAGCCCCGTAGGATCGAGGCTGGGTCCGGGAGGGTTGTTGTCGCATGGCTTTTGTTGCCACGCTTTCAAGGCCTAGTGTCTTTCACACCGGCTTTGTGGGTCGCGATGGGTTGGCGCAAGGTTTGATGGCGGAAAGTCACCCTCAATGTTGAAGCAACGCTTATCCTTGTTACAATGATATATTGTAGCGAGCAAGATCGGTGAATCTTTGCGGCACGAGAGCCGCATGAGGTTCGATTGACGGGAAAAGCATGCTAAGCTCTCCATACTATGCATACTCACCTGAAATCCAGGTCTGATATCAAACGAGACGAATTTTGGGTTGGAGCAAAGATCGTGAGAAAGACTGGATGGTGTTGCGCACACGCGAGGCGGGGTTGTTGCAGGCTATTGTAGTCCCGAGACGATTTGCCTCCATGCGTCCGCACCATAATCACTAATCCCAAAATGGACATCAGGACCCTACGTCCACGACTGGCATCTTCCCCACCAATGTCGTAAGTATCGCATGCGGGGCGGTGGGCTGCTTCCGTGCATCACGCTGCCGTTGGCCACACCATGGGAATTATTTTGCCAATTGAAGTTTGCGCTGCGCTTAGTTTCGGCTCCTATTATGGCAGAGCGTAGTGAAATGGTCCGTTATCGCGAGTGCAAGCAGCTTTAAGAGGAGTTCGACCTACAGCCTTGGGAAACCAACTGTCCGATTCCATACTTTTCAACTCTTTTGCAATGGCGACCTCCCAGCGCGTTGTCATTATCGGCGCCGGCGTTGTCGGCACTAACCTCGCTGACGAGCTGGTTTCACGAGGATGGAACAACATCACCGTCGTTGAGCAGGGTCCATTGAGCATGCCCGGTGGCTCAACATCGCATGCGCCCGGCCTAGTCTTCCAGACCAATCCCTCCAAAACGATGACCTTACTCGCGAAGTACACGGTCGAAAAGCTACAAGCGCTCGAGAAAGACGGACAGAACTGCTTCAACCAGTTGGGTGGCTTGGAAATTGCGACGACTCCAGAACGACTGGAGGAGCTCAAGCGCAAACACGGATATGCGCAATCATGGGGTATCGAGGCAAACTTGATCAGTCCCGATGAATGTCTCGAGAGGTACCCTCTCCTTAACAAGGACATGGTGCTAGGTGGTCTTCACATTCCAAGCGATGGCCTAGCGCTAGCAGCTCGTGCGACACAGATCCTCATCGAAAACACGCGCAACGCCGGCGTCAAGTACCTCGAGCACACCGTCGTTACCGGAATCGAGCAAGCGGACGGCCGTGTCACCGGTGTGACGACCAACAACGGTTCTGTACCAGCGGATATAGTTGTATCGTGTGCTGGATTCTGGGGCGTAGAGATTGGAGCTATGATTGGGCTCAAGGTTCCTCTCCTTCCTCTAGGGCACCAGTACGCGAAGACTACAGCTGTCCCCGGTCTCGAGAACCGCGAAGTCAACAAGAAGATCAACGCCATGAACGCCGAGCTGCCGATCCTACGACACCAGGACCAAGACCTATACTACCGAGAGCATGGCGAACAGTTTGGTATTGGGTACTATGGCCACCGTCCGATGCCCGTCAAGGCTTCAGACTTGGGCGTGACACCCAAACATGTCGATGAGAAGCACATGCCTTCTCGTTTGGACTTCACACCCGAAGACTTTGAGCCTGCCTGGAAGGCCACCAAAGAGCTGCTTCCGGTACTGCGCAACACTGAGATCGTAGACGGTTTCAACGGTATCTTCTCTTTCACGCCAGACGGTGGATCCGTCGTTGGACAAGCTCCCAATCTCGACAACTTCTGGGTCGCCGAAGCCGTGTGGGTGACACACTCGGCCGGTGTGGCTCGGGCTGTAGCAGAGACCCTTACAGAGGGCCGTTCAACTGTCGACATTGCTGAGTGTGAGTTGACACGATTCGAGGAAGTCCAGCTGAGCCCAGAATACGTTAGCGAAACCTCGCAACAGAACTTCGTCGAGATTTACGACATCATCCACCCTCTCGCGCCGAAAGAGAACCCTCGCAACCTTCGCGTCAGCCCATTTTACGCACGACAACAGGAACAAGGCGCCTTCTTCTTGGAGGTAGGGGGCTGGGAGCGTCCACACTGGTACGAAGCGAACGCAGGCTTGGTCAACACACTACCGGAAGAGTGGAAGCCTGTTGATCGGGACGCCTGGTCGTCCAAGTTCTACTCACCGATTGCCGCGGCGGAGGCCTGGAAGACACGGAATGCAGTAGCGTTGTACGACATGACAACCTTCCACAGGTTCGAGGTGTCAGGTCCTGGTGCCGTCCACTTGCTCCAGAGGTTGACGACCAGTGACGTTTCTAAGCAACCCGGCGCCATCACCCATACGCTACTCGTCAACGGCCACGGTGGCGTACTGAGCGACATTTTCGTTTCGAGAATCGAGGAGGACCTCTTCCAAGTAGGTGCAAACACAGCGACCGATCTTGCCTACCTCACGCGCGAAGCTCGCCGTCAACACAAGCACACATCCGGTCAGTGGGCTCAGGTGCGAGACATCACTGGAAGCACATGTTGCCTTGGTCTTTGGGGTCCCCGCGCACGCGACGTCATTCGCACGGTGAGCTCCGATGACTACAGCAACAAAGGCTTGCCGTACATGGGGGTGAAGAAGACAAGCATAGCTGGAGTTCCCGTCACCATGTTCCGAAAGTCGTTCGTCGGAGAGTTTGGTTGGGAGATTCAGACCACACCTGAGTATGGCCAGCGACTTTGGGACATATTGTGGGAGTCCGGCAAGCCCCACGGTCTAGTCGCTGCTGGCCGCGCTGCCTTCAACGGACTGCGAATCGAGAAGGGCATCCGAGCCTCGGGTTCCGACATGACCTCTGAGCACAACCCTTGGGAGGCCGGCGTGACGTACGCGATCCAGATGGACAAGAAGGCGGACTATGTTGGCAAGGCTGCGCTGGAGCAGCTTTCGAGGAAGGCAGCGTCTAAGCGACTTCGATGCTTGACGGTCGACGACGGTCGTTCGGTGGTTCTGGGCAAGGAGCCTGTCTTCGTGGAAGGTCAAAGAGCCGGCTATGTTACCAGCGCCGCTTTCGGCTACACGGTACGCAAGCCTGTCGCGTACGCATGGCTACCCAGCACTGTGAGTGAAGGGAAGACCGTGGAGATTGAGTACTTTGGCAAGAAGATCAAGGCCACAGTGACTCGCGATCCATTGCACGATCCTCAGGAGCAGCGCTTGAGGGGCGAGGGATCATCCGAGAAGCCGGAGCTGCAGAAGAGGCTGAAGGCGCTGCTGTAGTTGGGACGTTGTAATGTTGGACGATTGTTATGACTGTACATGAGCATCGAAATGGCGTGGCTGGGTTCCAAGGTTTGGTTTAGGTGTTTGTCAGGCGTATGGGTACCATTAGTTCCATGGTAGATACTGTATTGGAAGATCTCCTCGTTGAAACGCGTCGTGCCTGATCGCTTGTTGTGATAAAGAATTTGTGCCGCATGCCGCGCCATTTAGGATGCATCGTGTCTTTGGGGCGAACGCGTCCGGCACAGCTCGACGCGTTTGGTAGTGGGCCGCTTCTCACGTGACGGTATCTTATCGATAACGAGCGATAACGTCATCATCACCTCGGCCTTCGCAGAGCTCCATGGCCTCCTCAACTCTCCGCCAATTTCTGTTCGGTGTCTTCCTCATGAGCGTGTTTACTGCAACCATCAAACGATCCTCGCTAGTATCAATCTGTCGCACTTTTGCCAAGGTAAGTGCGAGTTATTGCTTCCACAATCTCGAATTGGAAGTTGACGCCAAGCAGCCATCGTCTCCAGCTGCACGCGCCATGCATATCCAATCAATCCCCATGTGTACGAGCACCCTGATGGAGTATCTCGAGCCATCAGACACATTCTAACTCACTAATCAGGGGAGGGTTCGGGCAACAACTATGCTTACCTAGTCTCAGACGACAAGACTAAAGAAGCCGTTATCATTGACCCTGCCAACCCTCCAGAGTACGCTAGGAGACAAAGAGAAGAAGGTGCCTAGCTGATTCGACTGTAGAGTTCTACCCGTGCTGCGGGAACAGACTACCACCGGAGGTCTCAAGCTGACCAAAATCATCAACACTCACCAGTAGGGCAACCGCGTTACACAATGCGACTTTGCTGACGTATCGGATAGCCATGGAGACCATGCAGGAGGCAACGTGGATACAGTAAGTTTAGGAAGAAGCAAGCAGGGTGGAAGTTATCAGCTAACCGTCCTCCCAGATCAAGGCATTCGGCCTACCTGTAATTGGCGGTCGTGACTGCGACAAAGTCTCCGAAACCCCCAGCCACAACAGTACCTTCAAAATCGGTTCCATCAACGTCAAAGCGCTCCACACACCATGCCATACACAGGACAGCATATGCTTTTACTTCGAAGACGGCAACGATCGCGCCGTGTTTACCGGAGACACACTGTTCATTGGTGGTTGCGGGCGATTCTTCGAAGGCACTCCAGAACAGATGCACAAGGCTCTGAATGAGACCCTAGCGGCTCTTCCAGATGATACAAAGGTCTACCCTGGGCATGAGTACACGAAGGGCAATGTCAAGTTTGCCAAGAGTGTGCTGAACAACGATGCCATCAAGAAGCTCGACACATTCTCACAAGAGAACAAGCAGACGCAGGGCAAATTCACGATAGGTGACGAGAAGAAGCACAACGTATTCATGCGCGTCGATGACCCCGAACTCCAGAAGGTTACTGGCAAGACTGAGCCTATCGATGTCATGGGAGCGCTGAGAGCCATGAAGGACAAGTCATAAGACGGAAGATTTGCACGAATAAAATGACATCAGAGCATCTTGCTATGCTACTTGGACTACATGCCTTACTTGCAGAATACCTCCTTGAATGATCCACGTTAATCTGTGCTTGTTTAGATGGGAAGCTAACAGCGCCAGTAGCAAAAGAAGTATAATTGCGGGGAAATCATGTTAACAAATTGTGAGTGCAGATTCAGCCTCGTATCTCTGGGGTTTGATGCGACCAGTGATGGGACGCCTGAGGGCATATGTTCGCGAGGGATGCAGTACTTGACTCACAAGCGATGACTGGACTTGCGGTTCGTAATATTTAAGAACACCATTGTTCCATCCGAAAGGGCAAAACAACTTCAAAGCATCTTCTCCGGTCATTAAACATACTTCTTTTTCGCTTCGCGAACATCAAATTTGTAAGGACATTAATATTGGTCGTCATGGCTGCCAACGGTGTCACCACGAAGGCGCTCAAGCAACGTACGAGACCGGACCAGCAGGAGACACTACCACCTCACAAGTACTACGAGAACCGCTGTACCTTAGTACAGAGTCTGCGCCAGAATACATGTAAGAATGGTATCTATTCTTCCTTCATCCCCAATCTCCTGGACCTTGGCGCATTCCGCGCTCGACACGAATCTATAGCAAGTGGCCAACAGCTCGAAGACGTAGAGTACACAATACGTGGCCGCATCGTCACTATTCGTAGTGCAGGAGCGCGTCTGCGCTTCTATGAAGTTCAGGTGGGCGAAGACAAGATACAGGTCGTGTGTCAGGTGACTGAACGAGATGACATCGAAGCATACAAGCAGCAACACGAACACCTCGCGAGAGGCGACCAAATCGGTGTGATCGGTCACCCAGGGCGAACAGCACCACGAAACCGGCCTGTAGGCGAGCTCTCGCTCTTCGCGCACAAGGTCATCTTGCTAGCACCCAGCCTGCACATGCTGCCCAAGACGCTCACTGACGCCGAAACGCGACACCGCGACCGACCCCTCGACTTCATTACGAATCGACGCAGCCGCGACATGCTGCGCACCTGGGATGCGATGGAAGCCTACATCACCACGTTCCTGCGCAGCCGCGGATTCATCTCAGTCGTAACACCAATCCTCTGCCAGCAAGCTGGCGGTGCAGCAGCCAAGCCTTTCATCACCCACCACAACGATCTCAAGCGAGACATGTACCTTCGGACTGCTACTGAGCTCCATCTCAAGCCGCTAGTAGTTGGCGGCATTGATCGCGTGTTCGAAATCGGACGTGTGTTTCGCAATGAAGATATGGATCTGACTCACAATCCTGAGTTTACAAGCTGCGAGTTCTACCAAGCAGATGCTGATTATGAGGTGATGATGCAGTTGACGCAGGAGATGATTTCTGGGTTGGTGAAGAATGTGACTGGGTCTTATGTGACCAGGTTCAAGAGTCAGACTGGTGACGAGTGCGAGATCAACTGGGAGGGGCCGTGGGAGCGCATCGATATGATTCCAGCTCTTGAAGCTGCCTGTGCTGTCAGCTTTCCTCCTCCATCTGAACTTCATACGGAAGACAGTCGGCAATTCCTACTCGGCCTCTTGGGTGACCGCAACATCGTTTGCTCACCTCCGCATACGAACGCCCGTCTGCTCGACAAGCTCGTCGGCGTCTACATCGAATCGCGCATCACAAACCCCACATACATCATCCACCACCCGAAGCTCATGTCTCCACTAGCTAAGACGCATCGCGCGATCCCTGGTCTCACGGAGCGCGCTGAAGCCTTTGTCTGCGGCCAGGAGATTTGCAACCTGTATTCCGAACTCAACGATCCGTTCGAGCAGCGCGAGCGCTTCTTAGAGCAAGCGCGGCAGAAGGCTCAAGGTGACGACGAAGCGCAGGGCATTGATAAGGAATTCATAAAGGCGCTGGAGTATGGGATGCCGCCCACGGCCGGGTGCGGGCCTGGACTTGATCGCATCTTGATGTTCTTAACGAACAATTACTCGATCAAGGAGGTTTTGGCGTTTCCCATGATGAGGGAGGAGATGAAGAGGGGTGGAGGCGGGCTCGCGAACACTCAGATTGATCAGGTGGTTGAGAAGGGAGAGCGGGCTCAGGCGCTGAGGGCGCAGATGGCAGCGCTTGAAGCTGAGATCGCGAGGCTGTCCATCGAGAACTTAGAATGAGGCTATGTGGTTAGGTAGTGAGGTTTGGCATCTTCTCCTTTGGGGTCGAGGAGATGGGACTGGAAGTGCGCAAAATCATTGGCGTGGGACGTTGATTCCTTCGTAACATCATACCTCGTATGCTATCTTACTCGTAGAAATACCAAAAATACCGCCACTGTGAATACCTCCGAAATCGCGAATCCCCTGACACATCTCAATGAAATCCTACCAGCCCGAAGCTTGACGAACGCCCCTCTTAGTAGGCATCGTCTCCTGCTCTTCAGTTCCTGAAAGTCCAATGTTAGCACTTGCTATAGGAAGTACCCTGAATACAAAAAGAAAACGCTGGACAGGATTATATGTTCGTACTCAGTCGGTGGACCACGGGGACCGAGCTTGGTGGCAAGCTGCCGTATTCGGTGATGACCATGTTGATGTACTGCGCGGGCGTGACGTCGTAGAGTACTTGGAGATGATGCAGGTTTTTGGCATCGTCAATCCATTTCAGAACGTCTGTGGTATCGGCAGGCGCCTCTTCCGATGACGACTTGTCGTCGCTCTTCGAAGCCGTAAATCGTGACTTGAGAGGAAGGAGCTCGCGGCGCTCAGCCTCGGAGAGGATTTCCTCGGCAGGGGCGACTTCATTTCCGACGATGGAGTCCAGCGCTACCTTCTCAGTGAACTTCACTGATTGGCAGAGTACAATGACGGGCAATGAGTGGGAGTAGGCAAGCATGGAAACCAGAGCTGTGCCAACGCGCGAGTAGAGGCGACCGTTCGACATCATCGCGTGGGCACCCAGGAAGACCTTCGTCGCGTCCTTAACAGCATGCGAAGCTCCTGTGATGAGATAGTAGCGTACTGAGATGCCGTGGTTTGCGAGTTTCCGAGCTAGCTGCTTGCCCTCGAATAATGGCTTTGAGTCCACGACGATGACTGAAAAGGGTTTGCCGGACTGGTGAGCATGTATAATGGTCTGTTCGACTATTGAAGATGCCGCATAGATCAGGATGACGTCGCCAGCTTGGATCTTGGTAGCTGCCAGGTCACGGATGAGTCGGTCAGCAGCTGTGACACGCTCGCGGATGAATATGTCGATCTCCTCAATCAGGTCTCGCTTGGCCTCGTTCTCCGGAGTTGAAGGATCTATCTTGATGATGACTGGAAGATGTCAGTATCTCTTCTGCCGCTCTTTAAACAACTCCGATGCTCAGTTAAGTCGTGTCTGCACTGTCAGTCCAATGTGAAATTCCAACTTACTATCCTTGAGCCACCGGATGGCGTTTCCCATACTGATGCTGAGTGGTCGACAGCTCTTCAGGAACTCGATCTGAGGACCAAGGTGATGACTGGTCAAATGTCGGGCCAAACTGTTTCCTGGGGGTGTTTGATAGGCCTCGATCACTGTCTTGAACACCAAGAGCATGGCCACCATGCGTGCCGTACTACCACAGATGGCGTAGCTGCTATACTGTAGGCCCAGTGCGAGCACCGCAGGATGTACATCTTTGGACGCGCCGACAAGAGATTGTTGCTTTGGCTGGCTGTAAAGATGACCAAAAAACAGACCAGTCTGTTTTGGTTCTTTCCCCTTCTTCGTCTTTCTCTCTGAGTCTTTCACGACTGGTGCGTTGGCTTGCGATGATTGCCGCCATGGTGGCTGTGGTCTTGACTTGTCGTCTTTTGGTGTCTGCTTCGATTCTTTTTGCTGTTTCTGGCTGTCCTTTGGAGGTCCTTGCTGTTGGTTTGGTGCGCCAGACGCAGCCTTGGCTTGGGCTCGCTTTGCTTGCTTCTCGGCCGCCTTTTGCTTTTTCAACTCCGCTGGTGAGAGCTTTTTGGGCCCGTCTGTGGCATCGCCGTTTGGTGTTGCAGGTGCGCCTTCTTGAGGTGGTACTACTGCCGCAGCGGATGCAGGCGTAGCATCTGCAGCGGGTGTCTCAGACATGGTGGTGCGACTCTTCTGTTCTTGTCGTCCCTTTAGAATTGGAATGTGGCCAGTTAGGTGTGGAACGATCAGGCGTGGTGGGGCAAAATCAAGTGTCGTGACGTGAACTTGGTCCCAAATCCAGTATCTCCAAGCCTGCAGATTTTCTTGGGTCGGTTTTATTAGGTGGAGTAGTGCTGTGCGTGTATGGTCCAGTGTCGCTGGGCAGGCGGAAATTTGATAGAGACGCGTGAATTGAGTCAGAAGTTTGGTCGCCGCTTCTGGTTAGCGCAAAAACGGAAATGTCCCGCAATGATCCCCGCGCTCCCTGCGTCATTGGGCAGGCATCCATCGCGCCTTCTCCAACAGCACAAACATCTTGTTTACTCACACGTCGTCATCGCCACATGGAGCAGGCTCCATTCCATTACTTTAACCTTGAACAGCGACACCACCTTCAAGATACTCCTACTTCATCTTCGACCCGCCGAAAAAGGGGTCAAGACGCAACGCCAAAATGGCCGATACCATCAGCTCCATCACGGACCTGCCCCTCGACATCCTCGTACTCGTATTCCCATACCTCGATGCCAAGAGCTTCCTCGCCCTCTGCAGCACGTGCAAAGCCTTCCAGCAACCGTCGATTCGATTAGACCCAGCGTACTGGAGTTATCTCGCTCGAACGACCTTCCGCGTACCGAACCAGCCAGTCGTACAACATGACGGCGACCGCTGGCAGAAGATGTATCGCCGCATGCTCACCCAGAGCCGCGTATACACATGGGGTCATAACTCGCACAACCGCTTGGGGCACGCTTCAGACCCGGAGGACCACGCACATGGTCGGACGCCTCGAATGAGAGGAATGAGAGCTGGCATGATGCGGCCAGGCAGGCGCATGTACAACGCCCATCAAGCCTTCCCGACGG